CGCACCATCCGCAAACCGCCACGAAATCTCCAGAGCCGCTCTGCCGCCAAACGTCGTCAGATTCGGGAGCTGCTAAACATAGCCCAAGCCATCATCGAGCAGCTGAAGGAGTTGTTGCCGACATCCGCACAGGGCGGGCGCCATGTTGAGGACATGGACGAGTAATGGCCACAGCATCTTAGGTTTAAGTACCAACAAATGCATACATATATATAAACATCAAATCATGAATTTTTCTAAGATTAATATACTTTGAATTTCCCCCAAAAATTATACCTAGAATCGTGAATTGTACTAAAATATAAACATTGGTTTTCGAACATGGATATTAAACATACACATATACTTAAAATGATAGAAAATTAACATTAGAACGCGAAGTGTCTACACTCGTAATCGAACCGTCAATCCGGAACGCCCGCCTCTTTTTTACATTATATACAGTCCACTGAACTTCAATAAATCCGCTGAATAGTCATTTATATTATTTAAATAAATTTTACCTTTTATTTAAAACCGATGAAACAGAGCCCGATTAAGTTGCCAAGAGCGCAACACATTCTATAGGCTTAATTCTTTCGATTGTTATATAATTTGTTCATTATACAAATGAGTACAAAATTAAAAAAATAATAATTTTTGAATATTTATTTAAAAATATCCTGGCCAGGATTTTTTCAACCAACCCACACGCAAAATATTTGCTAATGCGTTAAATTCATAGAAAAAAGATTTCATCCATTAAACAGATGACTGAAGGTCGGCCCTTTGTCGGATCTTAGACTATTTGGAATTATTTGGAGTTCGTTACGGAGATTTTATTTGCCACATCATTTTATTGAACTTGAAGCTGTTTTTTACCGAAAACTATTGGAAAAATTAACAATAAATTATAAATGATGGAAGTGATAGCTATTTCGGAAAATTGTTGAATATAATTGTTATAGGGCTAAAATAACCAACAAACAAACAACTTAAGGACGAGCACGCCTAAAAGTTAAACATTCTAAAAATTTAATTAATAACGAAAACCAACAAAAGCAACAACCCCATTATCAAGTGTAAATTGCAGCGGTATAGCTGCGCTTGATTGTAGTTAGCTCACATTAAAAAAGTGGAAAAAGCAACAACAGTTTATAAGACGAACTTAGCACAGTGCGTAGGCAACTGGCTGAGTCAGCTTGGGTCATCGGTTCGAATCGCACTGCAGAAGTCTGATGAGGAAATGTGGCGATTTCCGAAATAGCTATCACTTCTACCATTAATAAATTGTTGTTAATTGCTCCACAATAGTTTTCATTAAAAAACGGCCTCAAGTTCAACAAAATTGATGAATATAATTGTTATAAGCCCAAAAATAACAAACAAACAAATAACTTAAGGACGAGCACACCTAAAAGTTAAACATTCTAAAAATAGAAATAACTAGTGAACCCGCATGGCGTTTAGACGCCAAAATTGAGTTTAACATTGCAAATGTTTCAAGTAAATTCGTCCATCCCTTTTTGAACAAAGAGAGGTCTCGCATGGCGTCGGTTTTTCATTTCCTCAAAATTCCAACCACCCTGCACTGGTAAAAAAAGTCGTAACTTCAAAAAATAAAACTTAATGCACATTAAGAATGACGGTGCCGATCTGAAGACCTTCACATAAAAGATCCGATGACCATAACAAAAAAATTATTTATTTATAAAAATTAACTCAAACTAATTTTTTCGGTATATTATGGGTTTATTCGAAAGAACATATATTTCAATTAGTTATGGAACCCGATTTCATCATTTTACTGTCTTCGCAGTAGCGCATCCTGTTAACCCAGTTCCCCAAGACCTTGGTGACGGTTTCTGGCTCTATCGTAAGAAATGCCCGATATACGCCTTAAGGGCCTGAATCGTTAATAGATTTTCGCATTATATCGGTCCTTCACGGCATGGCACAAAAAATACTAGAGCGTGAAATCGCGGCTCCCAGGGGACCATTTGACTTCACCGAGACAGCTGATAACACAATTACCGAACTTTATCGCTCAAAATAAAAATTTAATAGATGGCAACCTTAACAAAAAATATTTTCAAGCTAAAGTTTTATTAAAACTCTTTCTTTTGCCACTCATATTTTAATATTTCACTAGTAATTGTGTAAAAGCTAAATAAATTAGGCTTTTCAAACAGATGGCAACCCTCTGCGGAGCATTTTCAAGTTCTTTCGTCTGATACTTTGATATATAATTCAATTAAATTGAATTTAATTTTTTTGTCACCTGGCAACTCACCTAAACAGTTCAGATATAAATCCTTCTCAAACCCGTGAACGATTAAATGGTCTCTTTTAGTAATATATTTAACTTAATAATTAAATTAAATTTAAAATTTCAACAGCTGGCAACTCTCTTCAAACCATCAAACAAAATTGTAATGTTTAAACTGAAGATATCCGTCATCCCTTGTCAAGCTTGGTTTGCAGACATATTTTACTAATGATCAATTGACAATTATTGCCAAATTATATAATTCTGAATAATTCCGTACCAACTCGATTAATTTTCCCTCCATATTAAACAAAACTTGCAGTAGAATACCGTCAGCTCGTCAATGAAATACACAAACAAATCTTTTCCGAGTTAACTACACTCTAAACAATATTTTTTTTTTTTAATTTAAACATATTCAAAAAGGTAACCAGTTTTCTCTATTGATGTATGCACACCATGTTAATCAATTTAAATACTGCTTTTTAACTTTAACTTACCATATTTGTGGCGTAGAACAAATTTGAAATTGGCTTGTTGAATTCTAAACACTTAAGGCCAAATTCACAGTGCGCAGTTAACTCAGAATCGGCAGTTGACTACAGATTTTCAGTACAGCACTGTGAGTTTGGCCCTTAGGGCCATTAATTTAACTATTTTAAAGTACAGTTAAAGCATTAGTTAGACTTAACTACACAAATTTCACAATTACACAGTTTACACATAAAATATTTAAAATTTGCTCTAAATGTTTCTGTTTAAATTAACGCATATTAAGAGAGGTTACGAGTTTCCTCTCCCAATGTGTGGAAATTTAGACACCGTGTTAATAAAATTAAACACTGCCTGTTTACTTTTGCATACCAAATTTATCGCGTAGAGCAAAAGTACACATAAAATGTACTTAATTTTTATTTTTAGTAGGGAATGTATTTTTGCGTTAAAAACGTTTGCAATTTTAAACATTTCGTGTGTAATATACATCTCATGTTCAAAATCCAGTCTTGAACGTTGTTAAAATTAGCACGCACTTCACAATAAAATAAAAAGGACAGTGACGCTCCGATTGCGCGGAGCATTTATTTATACAAAACTTAAAATTATTCCTATCTCTAACTAGAAAAACGCAGTTTGTCCAGTACATTTATATACAGACACATATCTATATATATGTACATATTCCTAATACACATATATGGATGTATGTGTATCTTATGTGCTTACATACACTAAAAAAAAAACTTCTCTTAATTTAAGAAAAACAGCAATCAAAATGAAGAAAAATGGGAACGAAACAGCACTAAACGAGTCTTATCCTCATTCGCATGCCCAACATTTCTTAAAAATGAGGAAAAAATATTTCTTTGTTGTAGAGAAAAAAATGTTTAAAATATAGAACCTATAATACAATTGGAGTAAATTTTTTATTTAAAATAAAGAATATTTTACCAAAAAATAAGTATTTTTTTTCTTCTTATTAAGGATAATATCCTATTTTCAACTAATTTAATAAAACACTCATAAATGTTAGTTTTTCATGAAACAAATCTTTATTAAGGCTTTTATCATTAAAAGAAGACTTTTGGTCGCAAAAATTTTTGATTTTTTACAATGTACATATGAATTGGCGGATATTTTAATTCATTAGCGTTTGTAATTTTAAAGATAGTGCTTTTAGAACCTATCTGATAAGACAAATAGTGGCGTTTGTACATTAAAATATTTATTAATTCACAAAACAAAAATACTTCGTCATTTATAACAAGAATTTCCAATACTTGGTATGATAGAAAAGTTGGATTGTAAAAAAATATAAAGTAATCTTTTTTATACATTGTGCCATATAGTTTAAAACTTGTGTGGCACATGCAATGGTTAATATTGTCTTCAGAAAGTACATCTCTGATTTTATTAAAATATTTTGAAAATTTCGCTTCATATTCTTCGCTGTCTAATGTATAAGTAACGTTCTTATAATTAACAATTGTTTCAGAAAAGGTCATGCAAAATTTCAAAGCCAAAGATAATGTTAAGTTTCTTCGGGAAGTAATATTTTTCGAATATGACTTTAATTGTCTATGTTTGGATTCAAAAGGTAGCGTCCACAAATATTTTACGGGGCCTGACATTTGAAGAACTCTACAATAGTGGTTAAGGAGGTGGTGCTTTGGTTTTAGAGTGTCATTAAAATTTGTAGTATATTCTTTGTTGTGGAATTGAATACGTTCTCTTAAATTCTCTATATCTGATTTAGTATATTCAGACAAAACTAATAAATCTAAAAGCTCTATAAGGTTTAACACGAATTTCCACAAGTTATCATCTTCATTTACTGCGTCTCCAATAAGTAAAGGGAAAAAGTGAGCGAACGTTAACATTTCCCTTCCCGATAATTTTAGCTTGAACGTTTTGAAATGATGCATCTGCAATGGTGGTGACAAATTTCCCATTTCAGTCTCACCATACGCAAATGTTTGTTTACGAGTGTTTAAAAATTCTAGATCAAATATCTTTTTATGAATATAATGTAAGATTATATTACAAAAACCGTATTTAAAAACGCCTTCAAAGATGTCATGAAGTAAATCAACAGAGAAATTTTCTACTACGTGGAAATTATTGACATTAGCCGTCATTGATTCGCCACTTCTCGCTCGCTATGTTTGAGTTCCGGTCGCTTAAAGAAGAATTTTGCATGCGAAAGCAACAACAAAGTTAGCTAGCACGGATAGACGATAGCGAGTTTGGTTGTACCTCATTAAGTTCGTTCGTTTCGCCACTCGCTAACTGATGGCGAATCGATGACGGCTATTAATAAAAATGGAAAACTCTCTTATGCCAGTATTTTCGAAATCGTTCAAAGAAATATCGTAAGCGTAGTTTTGTTGATCTCTTAATTGGCTATTATCTTCAATAAAAGCGAATTTGGCATCGGTTTTATTTATTTTACAAAATCGACAATAATGGTTAGAAGAAAATGAACGAGAAAATCCAAGAATATTGTTAAGCGTTAAATTATCTCCAATTATCAAACCTAAACATAAATAAATTATTTTATTGCCGTTTGGTGTTTTAATTTCAATACCATTATTTTCTAAATCATTTAGTATTTCTACTAACTTATAAAATGATTTATCATTACCGAATTATTTAACATCTTGTGATTTAAAAAGAGCGGCTATCAAAATACTTTGAAGTTCATGTTTAACAGAAATTGGCGCGGTGGGGAAGGAATAATATACTGCTAAAACTGATGAACTATGTGAACCTAAGGGATTGTTAACTTCGAAGTCATCGAAGTATAGAAAATATGGAATAACTAACTTGTTTTTATAATTTTGAATTTTTTTTGCCAAATATCGCCATTTACAAAATTTTTTAAAACTTCGTTATTGGTGGTTAAGTATTCAAGACTTTTAGAAAAATTTTCGTACATGCCTGGCAATTCAAAAAATTTTTTTATTTGAAATTTAATTGGAAATAACACACCCCTTACTAATGCTGAATTTAATTTGTTTACATGTCTAGTTTGCAAGTTACTTATTGAATTATTTATGGTGATGACTTGTGGATTTTCGTATAAACTTAGTTCTTTAAGAGTTTTAATAAACTTATACTCTGAGTTAAAGTCTTTAAATGGATCGCTACAAATATTTACTAAATTTTCAATATCAGCTTTAATATCGTTTTTTCCTAGCGAATCGAAATTTTGCAATATTTGTTTTAAATGGTTTTTTAATGGACACAAAATCATGTTTGTAACATCTCTTTGCAACTCAACGGTTTCTTTTCTAGGACAATTTAATGCAACCTTCTTTTAAAGTTTCTTCATTTACATTTAAACTTGTTATGTTACTTAAAGTATTTGTACTTTGATTACCAGTATCTGTTATTATAGTATTAGGTACCATTGAAGTAGTATTAGATAAACATTCGTCTTTTACATTCTGATTGCTTAATAAAGTAATTTCATATCTTTTGCGTTCAATTCGCATGTGCCTACAAAGTGATTTAAAATTCGTAAATGATTGGTTACAAGCTGTAAATCCACATTTGTACATATCGTATTGTGATAAACAGTGAATAATTTTGAAATGTTTAAATAAACGATCGCATTGTTCAAAAGATTGTGTGCACACAAAACATTTAATTTTTCCTTCCATTTCTAGTTATTATTAAAACATTTAAATTGTCTTAAATCACTTAATATTGCACACAATGAGGTACTTTTCTCGTGTGATTTCAAAGCAATGTCATAAAAGTATTGCTGGACAAAAAACCAAATAGATTTGCATTCGGAAGGATATTTAAGATTAAGTACGTGGAATATCTTAAAACACACATCAATACATTTGATAACATTATCGAACTTATAAAATATGTTGGCGAAGTACACGAAATATTCGTTGCTCTCAAGCAAGCTCATTCCAATAGCACATATGATGGGCTGAATGGTGCTTTTGCCCTTATAATTCTCATCAACCATTAATTTCAGTTTTGATTGAAGTTCACAATTAGTTGTTGCCCATATTAAAAAACTGTTTCTGGAATCTTCAATAGTGGCTTTGACCAAATGTTTCTTTTTTGTTTGCTTGCACGTTTTGTATTCTCGGCTGGTTGGAACTAAACCAGAATGTAGAAGATAGCATGTGACCGCATCCGTACCTTCCAAAATTCAAAAATTCATCAATAAATAATTTAGATTATTATAAAATTTAAAAACCAGCTTTAATCGTTCCTTCCTTAAATTGCTTCCAGGTTGTCAAACTGTGTGAATAATAATAATTTAATATAAATCTCAAAAATATGGCGTACTGCTTGGCTGAAATTTTCCCAATTTTCGAATAATAAATTTTTCTTCTCTGGGTACAATTTGTTAAAGTCCGTCTCAATCTATCAATCAAACATTAGTTAATTACCCATTATATCATTTAAAATATTCATTTAGTTGAGTAAAGCCCAGAGAAGTAATCCTGGAATATTTCACTTGGAGAAATTCGTATATTTTTTATGTTAATGACATTTACAGGATAACTTGAACTTGGCCTTACTCAATTATAAATTAATTTCAAAATAAGCACGCAATATATTACGAGTTATACCAATAAATGTCCAAAAATCTGCTTATATAGTGGCCATTCTTCTAAAATTTTATTTAGATTTGAATGATCTTGCAGCATTTGGCACCTGACTTCAAAAGTCAATTCCCATTTGATTTGCACTTCATCAAAAGGCTCGACGTTATACTTAAGGCACGATTTTTCTTGAGAGTAGTCTATAAAAATAATTTATAAACGCACCAACTTTTCAAATTGATTTCTTAGAACAATTTTTCTGCGGAAAGTTTAAAATTTTAATCAAAATTTCCTTCATTTTCCCCGAGTTCTGTATGAAATTAATAAATTTATTCATGTGGTTTTTGCTGTGAATAAACTATACTTTTATAAAAAAATAAGGAAAATTTTTACTTATTTTTGACGCTCACTGTTTGTAAAGTAGATCTTTACCTGTCGTACATAAATTGCTATGTGCTGCTTTTTGCGGCTTCTCTTCGGCGGGCTTTTTATTTATAATGCCTACATTTGAATAAAGTGCTGTGGTATTTAGTGTATAAACATCCGCCTGGTTTTTCCCCTTTTTATGTATGTAATGTATGTCCTAAAAGAAGCGTGGCAGTTTGAATTGCTTCTGAAATAACAATGGCAAATGTGGCGACGTACCTTCGACTCACTTAAAAAGAAATTCGATATCTGGCTGGCGAACGATTCAAATGTTTTTGGGCTCGAGTTTACTCCGGACGAAATCAAATAGTTTGCGATTGTTGCTGCAAGCAATTTTCTGTATTTTGGCGTAAGAACTTTTGTCTTACTGTAGTACTTCAAAACTTTACTTCCACTAACCGATCCCCTTAAAATTTCTTCGAGTGTTTTCTATATGTATGAAATGTAATGAAAATAGATTTAGTTTCAGTCACCAAAGCGTACATACGTGTTTGTGTTTATAAATAAGTTCTACCTCTGCAATATTTGCATTTGCGAATGATGCGCCCTCGTCACTTTGAGCTGTTTGCACATGAACGTCCTAG